ATCCCAAAGTTAATATCAAAATCTTCTGACTTCCAACTTAATCCATAATTTTACATATCGAACAAGCATAAAAAATCTTCCCGTGAAATCGTATAAATGCTCACGATCGGGGTCAACAGAGTAGAGAAAACAACCAACAAGGCTCTCGGCCAAAGCCAGGGATGGGGACAGGAGGGCTCACGGCTGGAGCAAAGAATGGCTACCAAGATCCATAACCAAAGACAGTCTAAAAGACAACAAGTAAGGCTTACAGTTAAGGCAACAAAGGGGCCCAAAAAGAACTAATAAAGCTCACAGTTTAAGGCAGCAAAGAACAACTGCAAAAGCCCACAACCCAAGGCCATTCAAAGCACAAAGGGGCTCACGGCTAAAGACAACAAAAAGACCACCAAAGACAATTATGCTTCCCAGACAAACTGAAAGGATAACTAAAATAATTATAATTTTTTTTTGGATGACAAACTTGATTCATTCACAACTCTCAAGACAATCCAAGCCTAGCAGGGAAAACCAAATCACACCCAAAGACCTGCAACAGACCTCACGGGTAAGGAGTAGGCACCAAAGCCAGCAAAGCCACCTCCCAACCATTCCTCGGGTAAAGGCTGAACAAAGCAACACAACCCCCCATTCTAGAGCTAATCCAAGTCCAACAAAGGCCAAACAAAGCAACTCAAGACCAACAACTAGAATCAAACCAAGTCAGCAGAGCTAGAGCAAGCAAACACAGCCCACACTAGAGCCAAACCGAGTTCAACAAAAAAGAAAGCCAAAACCAGCCCCCAACCAGAGCCAAACCGAGCTCGATCAAAACTAAAACCAGAGCCAGCCTTCAACTAGAGACAGAGCCAAAGCCAGCCCTCAACTAGAGGCCAAACAAAGTGCAGCAGGGCTAAAACACAAGAGCCCTTAAAGCCAGGAAGAGAGCTCTAACATCTCAATAAAAGCCAAGACTCAAGTTTCCACAGAAACCGACGTCCCATACTCCTGAAATGAAAACCGAGCACCAACAAAAGCCCAAA